AAAAGGGGGCGAGTTAAAGGATTGTGAGGATGTGTGTATATGTGTAAGTAAATGTGGCTCTGTTAAGTAGAGACCCGGCCGTCAGTGAGTGTTTGTGTTGTTAAATGTTAGTATGATATCAGAAGTGTAGAAGTGTGCAATGGGTCGAATTTTTGCATCCTCTTTGAGATTTATGCAGTCGAAAATATCATTAAAATTTGCGGTATTGCAGGTGGCGGCTTTAATAAAGAAGTTTCTATTTAATTTGTTGAAATGATGGTCAAAGCGGTCAATATTAAGATCTCTATGAATGGCATTGTTGCGGATAAACCATCTGGCTCCCGTGAGTTTTCTCAAGATGTTGTTTTGGAGTACGATAAGTTTTTTGAGGTCTTTTTCGGAGGCGTTACACCAGGCAGCTGAGGCGTACGTCATAATAGGACGTATCATCGAGGTATACAGGAGTTTTTTCAGTTTTAAACTAAGGTGTCGGTTATGAAAAAGTGTTTGAAGTTTGTTGGTTGCTGCATATACTTTATTTTTAATGTTATTTACATGGTCAGACCAGGTCAGTTTTTTATTAATGGTTAAGCCTAAATATATAGCTTTATCAACTATGCAAAAAGTACTTGCTCCTTATAATTCTTGATCTAATCAGAAATAACTAAATCATCATGGTATCTGAAAATCTTTTAATTCACCCAGGTAAATGAAAATACTGAAATAAGTTTCCCATCACAATGAGTGTCTTTGATAAAGGAACTTACATACATACATACGTACGTATTAGCGTTTTATATAATATAGATAGATAGATGTTATTGCTAATAAGAAAACTTAATATAAATTCACGGAGAACTGTCACGGGTATCCCAATATTCTCAGAGATTTTTAAAAAAAAATAATTGATTATCAATTCCGTTTTTATACTGAATTGAGCTTTTATATACAGGGTGTCTCAGTTAAGCGTTTCAGAACTTCTAAGAGGGGTAGGGGGCATCCTGAAGACTCGAAATCATACAGCAATGCGGGGTCGGAAATGCTCTCCTGACGCGGTAGATGGCGTTGTTCGAAAGTTCCGACCGAGCTTTCCAGTGCGTTGGCCTCCTCAGTCACCCGACCTATCATGTCTTGATTTTTATTTCTGGGGTCATATGAAAACACTGGTTTATGACACCCCTGTTGACAATGCTGAGGAGCTGGTTGCCAGAACCACAGTAGCTGCCGGAGAAATTCGAGATATGCCTGGAGTATTGCAGAATGTTCGGATGTCCATGCACCGGAGTGTGAGGTCTGCATTGCAGCCGGTGGCAGAAACTTCGAACACTTACTTTGACCCATGTGCCTTATGCTTTTTTCAATGTATTATTAAAACNATACATACATACGTACGTATTAGCGTTTTATATAATATAGATAGATAGATGTTATTGCTAATAAGAAAACTTAATATAAATTCACGGAGAACTGTCACGGGTATCCCAATATTCTCAGAGATTTTTTTAAAAAAATAATTGATTATCAATTCCGTTTTTATACTGAATTGAGCTTTTATATATATGTCTTCATATTCTCCACAAAAATTCGTTAAGTTCGGTAACTTTTTCTGACATGAATATTAACTTGAAACCCACAATGAAAATACTTTTAGCAAAGATTTTAAAAACTCATTAGAAGACATTACTGAACACTCGGAAAGTTTGAATAACATATTAGGCTATATTTTTCAGGAAGTTTTTTTAAAAAATAAAACACCAAAAATGTTAAATTTATTTTCCTTTTGCTCTAAAATCGCAGAATACGTGATTAGCGTTAAAAACCCTTCAAGGAATTAATTGAAAATTTTTTATTTCCCCCAGATCCTTTGAAAAAGCGTTAAATTTGGCAGTTATATAAATTTATTTATTTTTTGTAAATTTACTTTAATTTTAATTAAGAAAAATATTTTTTATTTGTATTGATGTTCTTAATTACATTTAAGGAGAATCAAAATTTTATAAGTGCGTAGGGGTGCTTGAGCTCACTCATCAGAACCTTTGAGGCTCTTAATCCAGCCATGCATACTCTGCTGCAACATGTCGAGAATCTGAAAAGCACATCCTCATAAGAATCAGGGTTGGGAAAAAATTTTAAGGAGTTGATACCATCAAGAACAAATGCTCCTTATAAACCATCAATGCAAAAATAATAAATATATATAGTTTTACATTGTTGCGTTGCATGTTACTTTTGTCTCGGGCTCTGGAAAATTTTTCTGAGCCAAAACTTTGTCGTCCAGTCCTGTCCTTGTGTATCATTCACATTCAGAGTATCACAAATCCGATGTAGTATCAAAAACCCCATGGATCTCGAAGCATCCATGAAATCCAAGAATTGCTCCCAAACTGTCAGTTTAAAATCAATTGACAATAAATTCCATCACCTACGAGCCGTTACAATATGTAAAAATCCCATTTCGATGCAAAATTTCAAATGTGATGTTAAGAATGGCAACTTGACGCTAATCAAAAATCCTCAACACTCAATTTTTTGCTCGACCCAATATCCCAGCCGACTGAAAAACCAACCGGAAGTGACGTCATAGCAAGCTTACGATTCTGGGAACAAGCAGAAACGATTGCTTAGACTCATCAAATAACACAAGATTCGTTTTTCTTGAGGTTATGAAAAATTGTATGTTGACTTGTGATACTTTTAAACAACACATGACCAGAGACGAGCTAGAAAAATTACCTGAAATGAAGAACATCGGTTTGGGAAAAAACTTTCAGGAGCTGAAGCCAGCAAGAACCAACGCTTCTTAAAACCATCAGGGTAAAATTTAAAAAAAAATTAGTGTCTGTTGATTGAACATTTCGTCTTTGGTTTAGAAAATTTTTCTGGACTCTAACCAAAATTATTCTCCGAGTTCGAGTGATTGATTGTTGCTTGGCGAGTGTTGGGTATTCTTGTTAAGGCTTTAACAAGTGCGAAGGAGATTTGAGAGCAACTCTTCTACAACAGAGATGAAATGACATGTTCAGGAAATTACCTATCCTCGGTGTGCCTCACAGCATTCAGATTTTGTTTTAATGCAGAGCACATAAGGTGGTAGCTGGCTCTTCAAGTGTTGTGGGGGCAGCCTTTGTTTTTTACCCTTCATTTGTAGGAAAAACCTTGCACACATCACTCCAAACAATGACGGAATACTATCACTTATCGCTGTTTAAGGTGTTGATCATGTCGTGCAACTCCACCTTTCAATGCGCCACTTTTTTAGAATCGGTATTTCGTTGTCACAGGCAAGACATATCTTCCTGCACAGTTGTTAAATTGTCTCTTCCAAACAACTTTGCGCATTTTCAGATGGTTTGGGTAGAATCCATGATCACACTGCACTTTTTCTTACGTTATAATGAATTTTTGTTTCCTAAATTCCTTTGCTATATCATATTTTTTGTAAAACCTTAGATTCTTCCGCATTAATTATCGAGAAATTGCGATTTTCCATTCAAAAAACTCGCAAAGATCAAGAAATGATGCATTTACTTTCATTTATCGCAAAAGACATAATATAAATAAATATACGGAAGGTGTTTTATTTATTAAATAGAATTCCAACGTTTGAATACTTTTTTTTTATATTTGGTAAAGATAAAAATAGTACAAGGTAAGTGAACTTAATGCAGGTTTGAAAAATGTTTTAAAGGAATAGAAATATTAAATGAGGGGTTAAGGGAAATTACCGGGGTGCTACTTTCCTATCCAATGGTGTTTAACCACAGACTCAGAATTAAAAAAAAAAAAAAAAAAAAACTATTTTTTCTAGTTCAGATTACAAATTTTAAGAGCTTGTTAGGACCATTTTTAAGCTAAGATTGCCAAAAAAGGGTGGATTATACATTAGCTAATTATTTGTGCTGTCATTATCTGAGGGATTACAGACGTTCTTTTGATACAGAAATCCTTTAATCCTCAAAATATTATGAAGAGTTTCCACTCCTATTTCGTTAACGGAGCAAGTAACAACAAATAAGTAAGCTGCAGCTATGCTTGCAAAGTCCACACTACCAGGGAACCTCCTTTATCTTCACTTCTCTATTTTTTTTATTTCCAGCATTTAATACTTTTTTATATAGGAAACAAACAGCACTGTTTATGTTATAAACATAAATAAAGAAGTAAAAAATAAACAATTGAAAATTTTGTCTACGAGGGGGACCTTTTTTTCTAGTCACTCAAATTGACTTCAGAGTGAAGAAGGTATCACAGTAGTAGAATTCACAACTTAACTTCATTTTTAGTTTCAATATCTATCTCCGTGTAATAAATGGGTATATCATAAATAGAATAACTACACAAAGAATGATTTTTTAAAAACATTTTTTATTCACTAATAAATATATTGCAAGAGCGATTTAGAATGTGTCATCCAGAATTCTCCTAGCTTGACATTTCAGGTCAGATTTTCCACTAGGGAAGTAAAAATAATAAATAAGGGAAATAATATTTCAAACATTTGTCAGACAAATGCAACACAAGCTTTGTGTAGACCTATTCTTTCAAATTTAGTACATTATGACACATAAGTCAGCGGTGTCAGTTATATATTTTTACCAGATCTGTATAGTTCGAACAAGAACGTAAGAGGAAGTTCTTTTCAGGGTATCCACTACAATTATCTTTGAAAATAGTTGCGTTAGTAGCCTTAAATATAAAAAAATAGTAGTATAAATCGCCTTCTCAGAGAAATAACGAAGCTACTTTTTCCATCCATGTAGTAGCTTTTTGAAAAATTATCAAAACACCTAAATTGAAACATCACATAATACAAATGTACAATACAACAATTGAAAATGTAGATACTCTATTTATCCCTAATTCTATCTTTAAACAGAATATTCAGAGAACTTAATTTAAGTACACATCATTCATTTAAATATAAGTGTACCAATTTGTTTAAGAAAATGACGATAATAAGGATTTAAATTTAATAACGTATTTAGATTTCAGAATTCAGCATGAAACTAAAACAAATAATATAAATGATAGTGATTTTTTTAAAAATAAGCATAATTTTTATTTTCTTTTAATTAAAAAAAGTTTTTTGTTTACATTTAATTTTTTAAAAAGTAACTTGTATTGAATTTCATTTAATTTAAACTCAAATAATAGTAAAACAACTTTATTAATCAATTATAATTTCTTTCAGTTATAATTTCTTCCAGGAAGAGATCTCAACCATAATGAAAACATACTTATTAGGAAAAAAAGTGTATTTATTGATTGCTGCCAATTTTAACAATTACATAATTACAAATTTTAATTTTTAGAAATTGATATATTATTTCATTTTAGTTTTATTGTATGAAACTTTAATATGTACATATTTTATTCATTTAAGTTCAAATGAACTCATATTTTAAACATACCCATATTTTATAACAATATTGCTAACAAAGATCAATTCTTTTTACATATTCAGATTATATTTTAGTAATAAAAAAATAGATAAAAATAGTGTCAGGAAAAGTTATTCTTACTCATAAAGGCTTTGAAATTGTATGAATACATACTGTGATATTTGATTTTTAAAACACCAGAAAATGAATCCTTTTTTTCATTTTAGTTTGTGAGCATGATATTTGATTTTTAAAACACACGGAAATGAATCCCTATGTTTGACTTTAATATGAACTGTGATGTTTGATTTAAAAATCTCACCTGTGTAAATTTGTACTATCAATCCCCCTTTCTATTTAGTCTACTTTTTTTTTATCTTTTAAGCAAATCATCTAAGTTTTGTATTTTTATTGAATATCAATTTTATTGAAATCTATCACAGGTTGCATAATGTGATGTGAAAATAAAACCTAGCAATTAATATTCATGCAACTTTAAAATCGATTAAACTACTTCAAAATCAACATTTAACCCTGTACCTAAAGGGGTTATTAATCGGATAATGGTTGGAAGATGATGCAAATAATTTAAACACGCAGGCCTGCCAACCTTCTTGCAAAATATTTTATAGAGGGACATTAGACATTTAAAAACCAAAGCTTTCAGAATTTTTGTCAGCTATTTAAAAGCTTTCCCACCAAAGAGATGGAACAAAAGTGTGGAAAATAAGTTCAAATTAACAAAATTGAATATTAAGTATCACAAGAATAAATTTTTACAAAAACTGTATTAAGTCCTGAATACAGGGTTATTAATAAATTCTCATCTTAAATTACACTACCAATCATTTACATATAGTCTGACAATCACCAAAAGCTCCTCTCTTGGTTGCCGGACAGTACAGAATTAAGTATGAAACTGCACTAGAAAATGAAAATCACAGTATGCAAAACATACACTTTAAGTTACTTAACTTATTTGTAACATACCAATAAATAAAAAGAAAAAAAATTTGAATTTATTTTTGGCCATACACTTGCATCTTTTTATGTGATGTGAGGAAGAAAGCTACCTACATACAAAACATTTTTTTTTAATTCAGTTTCTTTTCTTTGAAAGAATTTCTTCAAATCTATTAAAAAATATGCATTTTTGACAAGGCATCTTAACATTGCGATGCTTTCCATAAAAATTAAGAGCTCCAACAAAGAGTGGTCAGAATGAAACAATGTTGAAAGTGATTAAAGCAAAATGATGAAAAAATAGAAATGAAAAGAGGTTTCAGTACAGTCACCGCTAGCGCAGGCTCTATGATAGGTTACACAGCTGCTTCAAAAATTGAATGATTTGAGATGACAATCTATTTAAGTGCTGTACATTGAGGCTTTTGTTTGGAGTGGTGTCACCCTCAATGGGATTGGACTGCAACGGAACCAGTGATGAACCCAGATTTAGTTTAGTCAGTGATGACCATCTTTAAGAAGTGCGGATATGATAACTAATATTGATCCAGTGCACATGTAATGCCACTCATGGCAGGATCCATATTTCAACAAGACAGGAGTGCATTTGACCAGCTTGATCCCCAGGTTTCTCACTAAACAAGGGAAGCATCAAAGTCTGGCACCTCCAATATAATAATTGAGAGGGAGAATGTTAATCTGAGATATGATATACAAAATGCGTTACAAAGGTTGCGTCAAGGTAGTAGTATCTCCCTCATGGCAGGCCAAATTTATTCAAAAAGTATGAATGGGTATTTACAATAAGCGGAATCATTCAAAAAATTATGTGCAATAATTACAATAAGAGAAAAAAAACAATAGAATGATAACTAAATTTGTATCAATAACATTTGGTATTATAAAAATATTGAAGGCCATCTAAATTCAAGGATAGATGGCGCCAAAAGACAGAAGCAGAAGATGGATCTAAGTGTGGCATTAAAAATAAAGAGTTTATTGCATAGGGAGAGTTTTGATTGTTAGCTTGTATCATATATCGAATGTAACACAAAGATAATTAACGGCTATTGACCGCCGCATAGTATTAAACAATGTCAGAGGATCATGGATTTTCCTTTTGATGCCTAGGATGATAGCCACACACTTAACAGTATTAATTGAAATTTTCCAGTCTTTTAGCCAATTTTCGAGAGTAGTGATAAAAAGTTAAAAGAGAATGATGGCTGATCCATGATAGCAGTATCATCTGCAAAAATAAAATCGTTTACCTTTAGGAAGTCACACAGATAGTTAGATGAGGGAGTTAAGGAGAGATCAGAGAGCTTACGCAGAAGGATGTGAATCATGGTGTCGGGGAATTCAAGTTGGATAAAGATGTCTAAAGCTTTAGTGACGTCTAAAAAGAATGCCACTGTTAATTTCCTATTTATGAATTCAGTTGGTTTATTGTGGTCATTAGGGGTACTAGTAAAAATTTTAAGGTATTCACTGTTAGGTTTACCAGTTATTTCGAAATTTAGAGATTTGTTAAAAAAAATCTAACATTTCAAAGAAATTTTGCTCCATTTAGAACATTATTGGGTTTAGCTTGGGTGCATGGATTAAAATGAGAAGATTGAAGGTTTATATTGGATTGGGAAGAGAATGAGTGGTAAGATTATCAATAATAATTTCATTAGATTCTGAATCAGGATTATCTGTGTCGTTATTTGAGAGCGGTTGAAAAGGATTAGAACTCTTTTTAAGTAGGTATGCAATCAATCACGTTGTTTGGGTAGCCCTTTTGTGGGGGTCACCCTGTTTGGCAATAATATCATGTAAAGCATTTCTGAACAAATTAGTTTTATGCTTGATAGCAACATTTATAGGTTTATTGTCATTATTAAAGAACTCTTGGTTGATTTCAAAAAGGTTGGGATAAAAATAAAAACAGTATTCTTATAATTTTAAGAGGATAAAAACTCACAATAATGCAATATTTTTAAAAATTAATACAGAAATCATGGTCTGAAATTGACTTACCCATTTCTTTTAAAATAGCATTTCACTTTGTTGATTTCACTGATTCTATTGTGCATAACAAACACAACATAATAAGTGCTGGGAATGAAGCATAACCCTGAAGGGAAAAATGAAATGAGTAGAAGAGAACGCCCTCTCTCTTCAAAATCAAAATAGGGATTTCCTTGTCACCAAACAAGCATATCTGGGAGTGAAAATTTGACAACCCCCAAGTCTATTTGTTTTACAGTAAGTGGCAAAGAGAAGGTACTAAAAATGTTCATTTATTTGAATTTTTTTTTCTGCAATAAATGATATTTTTTTAATGCCTTACTTACATAAACCTTGTAAAATTTTACATTGTAATCATATATAAAATTTTGTTTCATTTTGACAATCTTTTCTAGGAGCTCTAATCTTTATGCCAATGAATGTATACATCATAATATAGTTAAGAAAAGCATCACAAAATTCTAGTTATTTTAATAACTCTAATGTTTGAAGAATATAAATTTACACACTTAAAACAAAAATGAAATAGCTTATCAAAAGAAGCAAAAATGCAAATAATTTAAATACAAGACTGTCGGAGGACAAGATTAAAATGAATGAATTAAAAAAAAATAATAGAGGATGCCTCAAAAATGCAATTAAAATCATTAAATAGAAAGGTTTTTGTTTTACAATAAAATCTATTCAGCCTTCTCCGAAGACACCTTGGAAAAGGTCAATTGTCGGGTTTTCAACAAGACATTTAGATAGGTAACAAAATGTATGCCATGATATTTCATTCTTGATTAAATGACTTAAAATGACGCTAACATAAACAATTAAAACACATATGCAGGTATGCATGTATTCATCGAATGCATGCTGACAAACTGGTTAATAATATTATTGTAAACCAAAATATACAAATGTTTTATAGACACACATCAAATTCAGAAGGATAAAACTATTGTGTTTCCATGCATAAACACAATTCCAATACTCAACATGACTAGAATATGCAATGGGTACAAATTATACACTTCAGAATCAAGTAATTGTGTTCAGTAAAAAGTTGCAAAGTCAAATTCAATGAAAATGATTACATACATAACATATAATACAGATCAAGAGTTAACTAAAACAAACAAATATATATTTTCTTATTAGACATTCATGAAATCAAAATAAATACACACTAATATATAAACAATAAAACACACAAAAAAAAGTTTTGTTATTAACCCTTTTTAATAAGTATAATTTAAGCAGATCTCCTCATCCATTTAATACGTATGATTTAAAGTATATGTAATGACAATCAGTTGTATTAAAATTGATTTAAAAATGACATCTAAATTATTAAACTAGAAAATCTGTAATTGAACAGTTGAATTTTTATTCGATTTAAAATTCTATACATTCCTGGGTACGGATGTACAATAACCATGCTTTTTCATTCATAAGAACTGTGTGTGAATATCATTTTTTGCACAGCATTCTTTTGTTTATTAGTATGAAAAGGTTATAAAATCTTGTTTAAAAATTAAAAATCTATTTCATTTCACTTTTTATCCTCACTACTCCAAATACCACTTTACAAGACAAAAAATTTTTTTTTTCTATTACATTTATTTTTAATAACAATAAAAAAAACATCAATTTTTTTTTAAACTTTACAATGTTAACTACAAGGAAATGTTTGTTATTTTTAAAAAACTCCAACATAATCACTTCAGAAAAAAAATATTCATGATTCAAACAGCTTTGATTGTTGCATGAAAATTCTATTCCAAAAAATTTTAGGTCTCTTTCTGTATTTCATTCAAAAAGATCATTCAGTCCAATGAAAGTTTCCATTTAAGTTTAAAATAAAATATGGTTATTTTCTAGAGAATTGAACAGGATTTAATATAATAAATTAGAGACATTAAAAAAAATATATTAAAAGAAAAGAATATAAATATAAAAAGGTGAAAGAAAAACACATGAAAATTACTATAAGCTCATTCTGTGTTTGTACTTTCTCTTTTACATGTGATTTTGACCTTGTAATACATGCCTAAAACCAGGTTGATGGGGAGGAAAAGGAGAACCTCGATGTGCCTCGTTGGGGGAATTCTGCAGAGGACTGCTGTGGGGAAGCCTGTTGATGGGAACGTCAGCAGGTATGTAATTGGGATGGTATTTTCTATGAATGGGTGATTCTAGGGATTGATCAGAGTAATCACTGTAGGCTTCATTGACAACAATGTTGTTATCAGTAGGCATTCCACGAGCAGATCCATTAGATTCTGAAGAATCAGGGGGAAAATAATGTATTTTTAAAAAGTCCCAAATAAAATATACTCAAACAAACAATAAATATTCCCTTTAAACTGAAAGAATATTTTATTTGTAGGGAATTTAAATTGAAAGGTGGTGTTTAACTTGTTTCTTTCTTAAACACAATAATTTTTCAATTTATTTAAAGTACAGTCCGCAAAAAAAAAAAAAGATATCACCCTGAATAACTTTTGTTCTAATCATTGGATTTTCACAAACTAAGTATCAATCTTAATGGTTTCTGGGGGTGACCTCAAATATGCTAATTAATTAGTGCTAACGACTTTCTTTGAATAACATACCATTTTATCAATGGGTTTGGATCTCTGGTCCCCAAAATATAAGGGAAAGAGGAAATCTGGGAAATATGGTCAAAATAATTTCGTCAGGAGAGGGGTCCAAAGTTTGGGCCCCTTAATGTTAATTTAATTAGTAACGTATTTCACTATATCTCGCAAACTTTTGAAGCGAACCGAAAAGTTTTGCACAAAATTATTAAATTCATTCGTCCAAAGATAACTCCATACAATAAAAACTAGTAAATATTTATTATTTTTCATTATTTCATTGCAAGAATTTGGAATTGTAAGGTATACAATTTTTTGCATCTGCGTCATTTTAAAGTACGTAATTTTAGATGGCAAGATAAAAAAATCGACGGAAATCAGTTGAATAGTTCCTGAGAAATCAAATTTTAAATATACGAGATCTTTAAAATTCGATTTCTCAGGAATTATTCGATCGTTTTCACTAAAATTTTGTATTTTAAAATGCAAAATTACGTGCTTTAAATTAAACTAAGGAATTTTATAACTTGCATTCAAAATTATTTAAATTATTATTAAATGAAATAGCAAATATTCTCTAAAATTAATTTTTTGTACGGAAGTATCTTTGGACAAAACAAATTTGTGTGCAAAAACTTTATGATTCACTTAAAAAGTTCTCGAGATATAGCGAAATACGCATAAAATCAAATTAACATTAAGGGGTCCAAACTTTGGACAGATCTCCTGTCTAAAATATTTTGACCATATTTCCCAGATTGCGTCTTTCCCATATATTTTGGGTTTCAGAAAACCAAATCTGTCGAAAAAAGTATACTTATCATGAGAAAGTACGATTTGCATCTGATTACCTACCTTAAAATATCGTCTACACTAATTGATAAGCATATTTGAGGTCACCTCCTCGGACCATTTAGATCGAGTCTTAGAACGTGAAGATCCGATCATTAGATCAAAAGTCATTCAGGATGATATTTTTTTTTACACGATGTACAGTATATTTGTTTAAAAATATATGATAATCCAAACCTACTACCTCTCTAACGTCGAAATAGTGTAAATTTTAAAACTGTTTGTTGGTTTAAATTTCCAAAGATTTGCATGCCGTGGCGGTAAAAAACAACTATGTCTCAAATAAAGATGTTGCTGTTGGAGCAAGTTGCTGTTGCTATGGATCAGTGGGAAAATTTTAAGAAATCGGAGCGAGACCGTGAATGTTTATAGTTAATTAACTATGTCCAGTTTTGAAACGTTGCAAATAATACTTCTTTTTCTTTTCAATTCTTGTAGGAATTGGATAATGGATATCAGGAAAGAAAAATACTTTATCCCAGACTTTATAATATGTAAGTTTTCCTATTTTAAATTAAAGGAAAATTATTTAGCCAATTCTTATTTATAAAATTAAAATAATTTATTAAATTAATTACCAAGCTTTACTATTATTTTTCAATGGTGTAGCATTCTTTTCGTGTTTTATGCTGCGTACACTTTCCAATAGTTAATAAATGATTCCTTAGTACCACAATTCGTAATTGTCTTTTAACGGAATAGCATTCATTTGGCTCTTTTGACGTCTGTGTTTGCAAGTGGTAAAAATTATGCTCGTAAGTTTGTAGTCTCGTTCTATGTCTCACAATAGCATTGCAACACAAGGAGACAGTTCTGTAGAATCGCAAAGATGTACTATTTTTGCATGACAACGCTTGGCTGCACGTCGCGCTGGTGACCAGGAATAGCATATATCGACTTGGTCGGAAGACTTTATGTCATCCTCTTTACTCACCTGACCTTGTGATATCAAATCCCTAAACAATAGTTTTAGTGGAGAATTCTTCCCTACTGGAGCAGACTTGTGCCAACACTCACTGACTTCTTTTCGACCAAACCCACCGAGATTTATCGTAATGAGATTGCAGCAGTTGGAGACAAGTTGACAGAAAATGGCGATGGACATTACTGGAAGGGCTAACAATTGTCTACACTTGAAATTCCTTTTCTTTTTGGCCATTAAAAATGGCTCCATTGATTACCTTGTAGAAGCAAAACAATTTTATTACAGCATCTAATTTGAAGATTATTTTCCGGAAAACAATATTTATTTTGATTTCATTTTACAGCTCTCAATTCGCATATGTCGGAGTGTCCTTCAGAAATGCAAGGGTTAGAATTATCAACTTTGTTCCAAGCATGATGGTAAGTGGATTTTGTTTTAAATTCATTGCAGATCAAAATTCACCAACAACAAAACGAAAATGCTAATTACAATCACACAAAAAGTCCTCCCGCAAGACAAGTTTAATTTAATAATTTATGCTAGAGCTCCCTTTTTTCCATCTTATATTCAATACTATAAGTTTGAGTGATTCATAATGCATTAGCTAAATGAATTACCCAATAAAGTACAAACACATTTTTTCTCATATATCTGAAAAAGACAGGCACGATTACAATCAATTTTCATCTCATTTGTTTCAAAATTTAAACAACATGAACAACCTTGATAGGGATTTCTTTTTCACTAAGTTTTTTTCTTTAAAAATAAATTAGTCGAAGATTTGTGTAATAAGTATAAATGTCTCTGAAAAAAAGATTATGATATTTAATTAATAAAATTCTACATTTACGTTAAAAAAAATAATCGGATAATTGCAAGAAAAAGGAAAGCGCATGTTGTTGCAAATTTGTTTTTCATTAGAAATGACTAAGTAATGATATAACAATATGAAATAAGTAATGATATGACAATATGACGATGACCGGAGAACAATATATAAAAAATGAATAAGTAATAATTGCAAAAAAATGAAAAATACTAAAATTTTTAATGATATGTCATTTAGAGAATCCAATTTTTTTTTCTCATCCAAACGCTGAAACTAAAAGTGCTGTATTTTTCTTATTTTCACGAGGTTCTTTCTTAACTCTCAAGACAATTTTCTCTTATGTGCCAACTAGGACTGGGCTATAAATCGATATATCGCGACATATCGATTTAACGCCTATATCGGCAAACCGATACAGCGACTTTCATTCCAAGCGATGCATCAGAAATTTGATTTAAGCCGTCGAGTGAAGAAGACGATATAACGATATAGCGATACACGCAAGGACTTTCTCTTACGTTCCGATGCCAACTCGCGCTGTGGAAGACGATATTGTTTCGTTATGTTGAGACGGCCTTGACTGATGAGCGGTAGAATCAGAATCACTTTTGAGACCTTATATCGTTATATCACATGTTCGTTTTCGCAACTTCGCGATTTGAAATCGTTTCTTGTAGATTATTTTCAATGGGATTAACTTCGTGATCGCCGTCGTAACCTTGTTCTGAACGCAATCTATTATTG